TTGCCCGTCTCGAGCCTCTGCACGAAGGACTTGATGCCTGCAATGGCGTATGGTGAAGCTGCCTTTGACGCACACGGAATAACCTTCACCACTCCAGTGTCAGAGCTGAACGCCACCAGCATCGTCGCGTAGGTGTCCTCTACCTTGGTCAGGTCCCCTTCCTCGTCGGCTGTCTTGCAGAAGCCGAAGTCGTAGCTGATGAGTGGGTGCTTCTGCTCTGAGTCCTCGAGCCTGACCAGCGAGTGAGGTGCATCAGGAGCTTTGGCCCTGACACACTCCTCGCACCACGGAGCAGCAGGGAGATGCGTGAGGCGATGCTGTCTCTCCTCCTCCGCGCTCGGGGCCTTCGGAACTGGAAGCTGCTTCGGCTCGACTGGATCGTGCTGAATTCCGAGCTGCTCCTTCACCGCCAGCTTGTGCAGCCTCTCCGCCTCCGAGCGCCTGGCAGCCGCCTCTGCCACAATGAGCCGCTCCCACAGCTCCAACTTCGTGCCGTAGATCGGCATGAACAGCTCCCTCAGCCTGGTCCTCATCGCGCCGACCGAGCTCTCCGCCGTGAGCACTGGTGCCGTCGCTGCCTGCTGCTGGTCCGCCGCGCCGCAGCAGTGGTGGGCCGCTGGCGCAGGGCTCGCGGACACGATCGGGAGCCTAAGGCTGTTCCGCTCCAACTCGAGCTGCACGCTGCGGTGACCCTTCGTCATGTAGAGCCCGTCCTCCATACTGAGGTTGAACCTGAATCCCTGCCTGAGCAGCTTGCCCATGCTCAGCAGGTCGTCATTCACATCGGCAACGAGGAAGTTCGCCGTCGCCTTGATGCCCTCCTGCATCGTCATCTCAACACCCCGTAGGCCCGCTGTGGGCAGCGGTCGCTGCTGCACGTCGAAAAGCCTGGGGGCATCCGTCGCACTGTTGACTGGGGCCTCTGGGACGAACTTGTGCCTGCACAGGTGGTCGTCGCTGCCGCTGTCGATCAGGATGGAGCCTCCAACCTTCGCCACCTGGCCGCTCGTCGCCGCTGAGACCGCAAACACCCAGCCGTCGGGAACGCCGTCGTAGTAGCCCGACGCGGCGCGGACCCCGCCCTCGGACTGCTGCTGTCCCGAGCTCGAGGCCGATCCATCTCCCTGAACCGCGCGAGTGTTGCCAGTCTCCTTCTTGGCCTCATCTGCCTTCTTCTTCCTGCAGTCGGCCCGCTTGTGGCCCCACTTGCCGCAGTAGCCACACTCGCCGTCGAAGTAGTCGGACTGGCCCTTGCCATGGCCCTGCTTGCCGTCGCGGTTCTTGGACTTCGTCTTCGGGTCCTTGCAGCCCTTCACATTCTTGCCAGACTTCCCTGACTTGTCCATCTTGCCTGTCTTGCCCGACTTCCCGTGCGACTTGCCGCCATGCGGTCCAACTCGAACTGCATCCACCTGCATCGGCACGACCCCGCCAGTGTCTGGGACGTGGGTGAACGTCCGCCCTTGATTGTAGTAGCCCCTGATGTGACTCCGAGCCGCTGCGAACGTGAGCTTCACCTCCTCAGGCGCCTGCCGAAGGACCTCACGGTACGGCTCTGGCGCGTGCTCTAGCAGCACGCTGACTCGAACGTTGTCCGAGACCGCCTCGCCGCCCTGGTCCACGTACTCTGCGACGATGGCCTCCCACGCCGTGAGAGACTGAAAGAAGTCGATGCCCGACTCCCGATCCTTCGCCCACTTGTCCTGAGGGTTCAGGATGAAGCGCAGCATGGCCGTCCACTTGTTGCCCGACTTGCTCTCATACTCGATCTTGAGCTGCCGCCACGCCTCCAGGCCATTCTTCCTCGAGAGCTTGACCACACCCAGCGACTTGCCGTCGCACCACGTGATCAGCAGGTGCCAGAGCCTCTGGCTGACCGCTCTCGCCTGGTCCCCCAGCTGGTCCGTTGCCAGTGGGTCGCGCCTGTTGGCCGCCTCCGTCATGAGGTCCTCCATGCCAAGCAGCGCGGTGTAGGCCTCGAACCTGAGGCTCCAGTCTGCCCATCTCTCGTCCGTACCGTCGAACCTCTGAAGCCTCATGTCGGTCCGAACGTCGACGACATCGATCGCCGCCATCTCCGCCAGCACGGGCAGGAGGTCTGGGCGCGGCGAGCGAGCTCAGCTCCCGTGGGCACAGGAACCGAGCTCCGCTACCATGTAGCAATATCGAGGCTTTTCCTCTCAACCCTCGAAGCCAAAGGACCTGCAGTGCTTGCTCCCTCTCTGCCCTAACATGCTGACTCCTGCACACGGGGGTCCCTGACCCCAGCAAATACAATCTACAACAATAAAACTACCCCAAAAAAAAACTACCCCAAAAATAAGCCAAAAAGGCCAAAGAATACCCAAAAAATAGTCCCCAGACTATGTTTGGAGTATTTTTGGGATATTTGGGGGGCATTTTCAATTTTTCGTCGAAGATCCCCCTGCAGGGGGACAGGCCCGACTTAAGCCAAGGTGCGCTTGCCGAGCCCTGGCCTTCATGGCTACTACAGGGCAGGTTTTAATACATAGGATTTTCAAGAATACAGGATTTGTAAGACATGATTAATTTATGCATAAATGCATGCATGAACTCATCGTTGCTTTAATGCATAGGAATTCTTAAGATATATGATTTGTCATACATGATTAATGCAGGAGTACATTTATGCATGAACTCATCTTTGATTCTCATACTAAATCCCTGCATGTGTAATACACGATCCGCACGCGAAGCATGGACTGAAAACGGCACTGTAAGCTGCCCTCGACGACCATCGAGGCGGCGAGCGCCCCGTCGCGAAGCCTCCTCGCAGCGGAGAACGGAGCCAGGTCCTCGCGTGCCTCGGGGAGCTCTCTCTGCGCAGGAGGCGGAGGCCACGCGCGTGCACTTCGCAAAAAAAACCTCTCGAAGGAGTGCGTCCAGCAGTTCGCCGGCGATGGTGAGGTCATCATTGGTCGGGCATGTCTTCCTACAGGGGGCCTTTGGACGAAAAAGGAAGAGTAGCCCCCCAAAAAACAGATTCCACAAAGCATCAAAAAATATTCGACAAACCGTCCCCCGCCTATTTTTTGAATGTTTTCGGGTATTCCTCCTGCAGAGGGACACGCCCGACTTAGTGCTTGGGCCAAGACACGTCGGCCGAGCCCTGGCACCCTCCAGCGGGTCTGAGCAAGACGCTGGGCCGAAGGTCCGCACTAGGCCAGCGCGTTCCACCACTCGCAAAGCACCTGCTCGCAAATAGCCTGCATCCGCCGAGGGGGGATGTGCGATCACTTACATCGAGGCAGACCTTTGTTTTTAGGGCCGTTTGCGAGTAGGCACTCTGCGAGTAGTGGAACGCGCTCGGCGAAGCACAATCCTCCCAGGGTCACTGCCGAACCTTCCGAGGGATCGGTAGGTCGAGACTCTGCCGGGGATCCCGAGGACCAGCCGGGATCCCCGGGCCGAGTTGCTGCCGAACCAGGAGGGGCACTCTCCTCGGGTTCGGCCAAAACTTTCAGTCATGCTTGATCGACTGGTTCATCCGATGTTTAGAGATGTGGCAGCAAAGTTGGTGCTCATTTAGCTGCGGGCATTGTTACCATATGTACGTATCCTCCTCCACCTCATGCTTCTCATCCTGCTCCTACTCCTCCTCCTCCTCCTCCTCCTCCTCCTCCTCCTCCTCCTCCTCCTCCTCCTCCTCCTACTCCTCCTCCTCCTCCTCCTCCTCCTCGTCATCATCCCTCCGTCACGTCGCCCTGGTCAATGTGGTGGCCATGCCTTTCGCACAAAAGAGAGGGAGAGAAAGAGAGAGAGAGAGAGGCCACAAGTGAAAGCGAAGATGCGGGTCAGGGGCGGACCAGGGCCACTCGAGAAAGGACTCTGCTGCGCAGTCTCACACAGTAAAACCAGCCCTCTTGGCGCAGGGTGATTTCGGGCGTCAGCACTTCCTCCAGCAGGACCCCTTCTTCCCCCTCGTGACCCCATCACCAGTGTCTAGGACTGTAGGCCTCGGAGGGCCAGAGCGTCCAAGATGGCATGGCGTCCCCTCGAAGTACCTAGACATCGGACATCGTGATCTTCTCACAGCGTGGTTCCCCAGAAACCTGGACCTCTTCCGAAAGATCGGTTTTTGCAACGAATCATTATTTGACGGCCGCGGGGCCGGGAACCGTCCCCTGGAGTCATATATATATACACATATATACATACAACAAAACACAAAAACAAAAACAAAAAGGGGGGAGAAAAAAAAAAATAAAAATAAAAAAAAACAACAAAAAAAAAAAAAAAAAAAAAAAAAAAAAAAAAAAAAAAAAAAAAAAAAAAAAAAAAAAAAAAAAAAAAAAAAAAAAAAAAAAAAAAACGAGAGGAAGACCCAACAGTAGGCAAGTGATTACGGCAAGGCAGGTGGGACGAAGGAGGGGAGAGCTCCATATGGGGCCACGAAACGTGTGAGGGGTGTGCCGAAATGGGCGTGACGCCCACATGTGGATGGCGCCTCTGGGGCCTTCGGTGGAGCTTCCTTTGGGGCCACGAGACGTGTGAGGGGTGCGTGTGCCGCAACGGGCGTGACGCCCACATGTGGACAGTGCCTCTGGGGCCTTCGGTGGAGCTCCCTCTGGGACCACGAAACGTGCAAGGGTTGTGCCGAAATGAGCGTGACGCCCACGCGTGGACGGTGACTCTGGGGCCTTTCGGTGGAGCTCCCTGTGGCGCAACGAAACGTATGAGTGTTGTGCCGAAACGGGCGTGACGCCCACAAGTGGACGGTGCCTCTGGGGCCGTAGGTGGAGCTCCCTACGGGAGCACGAAACGTGTGAAGGGTGTTCCGTAATGTGCACGCGGAGGGCATAGGCAGGGATAGGGAAGAGCGTGGAGGGAGGAGGCAGATAGGGAAGGAGGGAGGGAGGAAGCAGACGCGAAGCGATGCAAGTTCAAAACGAGGACACAACAACACAGAATGCGTGGGAAACATAGGCCGTCGCCGCTTTTGCTGCGACTCCCAGATCTCAAGGAAGAAGCGCGACGGCCTCGAAGAACCCGGGCGTAGTGGTGCGCACGGAGGTCGAGGACGAGAGCAGCAGCTCGTGCTCGCAGTCGCTGGCCTGATGAGCGCCAAAGGCAGGCGGATGGAGAAGGAGGAGGAGAAGGAGGAAAAGGAGGAGGAGGAGGTCATCCGCACTGGCCCGACAGAGGGAGGAGGAGGAGGAGGAGGAAGAGGAGGAGGAGGAGGAGGCCCATTGATCCTCTCCTCCGATGTCGCACTTTTCGTGGTAGATTTAAACCATGCAAACGAAAAGGCTTCTCCTCTTCCCTCTTTCCCTCCCTCTTGCCCTCCTCCCTGGTTCCTCTTCCGCACCTCCACCCGGACCTCCACCTCCTCCTCCAAAAATGTGTTCCTGGAACTCTCTGGGGGCGCATTTTGACCAGAAGGAGGAGGAATAGGAAAACGAGGACGGACCACATGTCTCGAACAAGACCGTAGGCTTTGACTTTGAAAGAATCACCTTTGTGGTATTCAGAACGCATAAGGCGGCCCAAGAAGCCCAAAGAGAGCTTTAAGAGGCGCCCAGGAAAGGCCCAACACGGCCCAAGAGGGCCCCAACATGGCTAGAAAGGGCCTGGGCACAAGACTGCCAATTAGGGACATCAGATGGCCCCAAGGCTGCCCCAGGGTGGCCGCAAGAGACCTCGAAGAAGGCAAAGAGAGGGAAAATACAGCCCAAGAAGGCCCCAGGACGGCCCCAAACGGCCCGAGCGAACGGAACGCCTGTCTGCCCGTGTCCCCCACGGAGTGCTTTGATGAACGGCTACAGCGAATATGTTGTTCCACGTCGTATCGACCACCCCTCCCCATCCACCCTCTCCAACCCCACTACCCTGCTCTCCCTTCTCTCTTCTCCACCTCTTCGCAGTGGCCTTGTCAACACTCGACTGATACCTTAGACAACTTCCTTGCAGCTGCATTGAGGCTTATCGGATCGCGACACGGCTGCTACAAGATGGCCCTCAGCATTACATCCATGACGTCTTGGTGCTTCCGTCCTTCGAGGAGGGCGGTTGATCATCCACAGCTTGCTGCAACTAGAGACAACTGTGCCCGTGGCGCAACTCGACCTGGCTCGCTCATCCCGGTTACGCCGCTGCCGCACACACTCGCAGGCGTGGGCCTTGCTGGGAATACACTGAACAGCGCAGCTCGGAGGGGTAAAGGAAAGGAAGGAGAGGAGGAGCAGGAGGAGGACGAGGAGGAGGAGGACGAGGAGGAGGAGGACGAGGAGGAGGAGGAGGGGGAGACGGTGGAGGAGGAGGAGGAGGAGGAGGAGGAGGAGGGGAAGGAGGAGGAGGAGGAGGAGGAAGAGGAGCATGAGGAGGAGGAGGAGGAGGAGGAGGAGGAGGGAAAGAAGGGGAGGGGCGCAGCTGGTCGCTTGGAGCCACGGCGTGGAGTGGCACACGTCGCCGCGCCGTCTGTCATCGACGCGCCCAAAGAGGACGACGCCGACACCACGACAATCCCACGGCAAACCCTGCGCCCTGCGCCCGAGTCGACGAAGCTGGCGCCGCGGAAAGCTTACTTCAAGCCGACCGCGCCCGAGGCGGCGTTTGCCCTGGTGCCCGCGGCGGCTGCCCCAGGACGGAAGGCATCGCGTCGGCACAAACGGCGCGGCGACATGGAAGGGAAGGGGAGGGGGGGCACGCTGGAACCACCTCCTCCTCCTCCTCCTCCTCCTCCTCCTCCTCCTCCTCCTCCTCCCCCTCCTCCTCCTCCTCCTCCTCCCCCTCCTCCTCCTCCTCCTCCTCCTCCTCCTCCTCCTCCTCCTCCTCCTCCTCCTCCGCCGCCGCTGAATAGGGGACCCCAGGGCACTCGAGGCGGGAGGGCGCAGGCTGGGCTGAGCAGCGCCAAAGGAGGAGGAGGAGGAGGAAGAGGAACGCACGCCTCCACCACGACGGCGGCGGCGGCGGCGGCGGCGGCGACGACGACGACGACGACGACGACGACGACGACGAGTCGGAGGAGGAGGAGGAGGAGGAGGAGGAGGAGGAGGAGGAGAAAGAGGAGGAGGAGGAGGAGGAGGAGGAGGAGGAGGAGACAGGAGGGCAGGGGAGTGCAGGGAGGAGCCCAGGGAGGCAGGGCGCGGGGGGGCCTGCCGGGCCCCCTCCGGCGCCCCCGCGAGCTCGGAGAGGCCGCCGAACACCGAGCGGACGGAGGCACGGAGCGCCCGCGGGCTGCGGCGCCCTCCTTCAAGGAAGGCCGGCACGGCCAGAAGTGTTAAGTCGGGCCTGTCCCCCTGCAGGGGGATTGTCGACGAAAAATCAGAAATGCCCCAAAAATCATCGAAAAAATAGTCCAACAATCGTCTGGGGACTATGTTTGGACCAGTTCTTGGCCTTTTTGAGGGTATTTTGGGGGGGTATTTTTGGGGTATGTTTTATTTGTCGTCGAGAATCCCCCGTAGGGGGACAGGCCCGACTTACCAGAAGTGTTCGGACGTCCGCGCGAACTTCTTGGATCGGAGCTGGATCCCCCCCCCGCCTGGCGCGCGGGAGCGCGCAAAGGGTCACGATGCTCCGACCTGCTTCAGCCATGGTCGCAAGAAAAAATGAGTTCGAGCGCCGGGGAAGCACCATCAGAGTGGAAGGCTTGCTCGTGTCGGACCCTTCGCTGGCGTGTCAGGCAGGCACTGTTTCGATACTCCGGGTGCTCGAAATTATTTCTGGGATGTGGCCCTTAAGTACGACGGGAACAACATAAGCAAAGGGCGGCGCTGGAGGCGTCGCCAGACGGGGGGGGGCCAGCGCAAATCCAACACACCTGCGCGAACCTCCGAAAGTTTATGCTTGCGCGGATTTGTTCTTCGATCAGGTGACGAAATCCGAACCCTGACACCACCAACCATCGATACTCCCGAATCACATGGAAGGCGGGGGTACTGTTCGGATTTCGGCACGTGCCCGACGAACGCACCCCCGCCGCCCATCGAGTTTTGGCTGGATCGGCAATCGGCGAGGGCAGGGGCCAGATTCAGCCGCCGAGGAAAATTCATGCTTGTCTCGTTCTCTTTCTTTCGTAGAAGAAGAAGGAGAAGAAGAAGAAGAAGAAGAAGAAGAAACGGCATAAACATAAACTTCTGGCGCTCCGCGCGGATTTCCTGGATCTGCGCTGGACCCCCCCACCACACCTGGCGCGCGGAGCGCGCCTGGGGCGGCGCCGGAGGCGCCGCCAGGGGGGGCGGGGGGGGGGCCATGCGCGGATCCAGGGAACCCGCGCGGCGCGCCAGAACTTTGCGTTCGTGGCGTGCGCTCTTCTTCGATGCGTTCGACTCCTTCGCCCGCTGCGCCGGCGCCGCCCTGCCCGCAGCTCCTCGCCAGCTCCACCTCGCTGCCTCTGGCGCTCCTGCCCTGCCGTGGGGGGCGGGCCCGGGCCCTCGCCGCGCCCTCCTCGGGCGCCCCCTCCAGCGCGCCCCTGCGCGGCTCCTGCTGCTGGGCAAAGGAAAGGAGGAGGAGGAGGAGGAGGAGGAGGAGGAGGAGGAGGAGGAGGAGGAGGAGGAGGAGGAGGAGGAGGAGGAGGGGGAGGGAGGAGGAGGAGGAGGAGGAGGAGGAGTGAGGAGGAGAGGGGGAGGAGGAGGAGGAGGAGGAGAGGAGGAGAGGGGAGGAGGAGGAGGAGGAGGAAAGGGAGGAGGAGGAGGAGGAGCTGCGTAGAAGTACACTGGCGTAGGTCCGCGCGGACCTCCAACAGCGAAAGACAGCCGCGGCATAGTCAGCTCGAGCCGAGCTCGCTGCACGACTTCGACCCTGGGCGAGGGCCGACTTTTCTGAGCTCGCTTCGAGCCGGCGCGGCCCCTTCCTGCGTCTGACGTCACAGGCCTCCAGCGGGGGGGCGAATAGATCCCGCAGCGGTGCTCCCTAGACCACTCCTGGTGTTGGAGGCCTGGAAATTGACACCAACACCAACACAGGGGGTTGCCTCCACATAGGGGAAGATGATCCTAGATTTCGGTGTTGGTGGTAATATTTCGGCCACCCTGGAAACCAGAATATTACCACCATCACCGAGATCGGGATCTTGCTTCCCTCGGTGGAGGCACAACGCCGATATTGGTGTTGGTGTCAACCTCTAGGCCTCCGATGGTGTGCGCTCTTCTGACCAGGCCTTCGCTGCGGAGCCAGCCGGGGCGGCGAAAGGGCCTCTGGAGGCCAACAAAAAAAGGCGAGGGCGAGGGACGGGCAGCGGCACCCGTGCCTGTTCCTCCCACGAGGGGATGTACAACAAAACGGCATGGGTACTCCAGATTTCATAATAAAAGGGAGGGGGTCTGGACCCTCCAAGACAAGCCATTTCAGACCTCCCCCGTGGGAGAACCCTCCAAAACATCGTCCCCAGACCCCCCAGGCCCTCCAAGATAGCCTGGAAGAGACCCCCCCCCGAAATGAGACCCCCCTCCCTTTATTACGAAATCTAGAGTATAAACGGTTGAAGGTCCACGCAGGTTTCCTGAATCCCAGAAATCCGCCCTGGACCTCCAAAACCTGATGCTTGTGATGCTTTCGGTCTTCGATCCTCCGAACCTCCCTCCCCTCAGTCCCCTCCGGGGGGGGGGGGGGGGGGGCGCGGGAGGGGGCGATGCAGCCTGGGGGAAGTTCGGCCGAAAGTCAGGAAGGATCCCGCTGCGCCAGCGGCCATGCCACGGCCGCGCGCGAACTGGAGGAGGAAGAGGAGCAGGAAGGAGGAGGGAAGGAGAAGGAGGAGAGAAGCAGAAGAGTTAGGAGGAGGAGGAAGAGAAGAGGAGGAGAGGAGGAGGAGGAGGGGGGGGGAGGAGGGAGGGGAGGAGGGGAGGAGAGGAGGAGGAGGGAGGGATGAGGAGGAGGAAGCAGGAGGGAGGAGGATGGGAAGGGAGAGGAGGGGGGGAGGGGGGGAGGGGGAGGAGGGGAGGAGAAGAGGAGGAGGAGGAGGAGGAGAGGAGGAGGAGGAGGCAGAAGGAGGAGGAGGAGAGAGGAGGAGGAAGAGAAAGAAGGGGAGGAGGGGAGAGGGCAGGAGGAGGGGAGGGAGGAGTAGGAGGGGGAGGGGGAGGAGGAGGAGAGGAGGAGGAGGAGGAGGAGGAGGAGGAGGAGGAGGAGGAGGAAGAGGAGGCGGAGGAGGAGGAGGAGGAAGAGGAGGTACTACGCGCCTCTGTTGGAGACGCACGTCTGGCCAGAACAGATTGGCCAGAACCTATAGCACAAAATCTTGTAGCACATCGCTCCCCAGCAGCACGGCCAGAAAACGCCCGCTACAGAGCATGTACCATGATATTGCTGGGCGCACGCGTCGCCCCTTTTGGGGGCGACGCACACGTTGTATCATAATTTTGGAATGACGCTGACAAAATACCGATCCCGATAATCCCCAGACCTCCCCTGGGGTGCGTTCTGACCAGAATTCCGAGGCAAATCCAGCGGCGGCGACAAGGGCCTCCCAGGGCAGGCCCAAAGAGGCGAACACGAGGCGAGGATACGGCGAGGGCATTGGATAAGGAAGCACTGGTGAAAGAATCCAGGGTCTGGCAGCCGGTGGAACGTCCACTGAGGCTTGGCCATGGCTACCACCACCGCCCTCATCGGACAAGGAATTCTCCAGGGTCTGGAGCTTCCTGGGAACATTCCTTAACGAACGCCCCCACCGTAGTGGTATCGGTGCCTTCTTCCTCATCTGATCGAATTGACCACAAAACAAACGACATCACCCCAACTACGGCCCAGCGGGACTTAGCGTACACCAGGAGATCTGGCGTGGGCTTTTGCGTGATGTGCGCCACGGCCCCCGACGGGCCGCAGCGCAACATGGAGGGCCGTAGGTGGGGTGGTGTCGCTTGTTTTTTTTTTTCGGTCGATCGATACCCCGCGTGCTGCCGAACCTCCCCGTGCTGACGGACCGCCCGCTTCACTCGGCCGCGCGGCAGCGAGCCTCCCGCAGCGGGGTCCTGCGGCGCCGCGCCCCCCTCAGAGCGGCCAGCGGCTGGCCTGCCAGCGCTCGGGGCGCCGGACTCGCGGCAGCTGCCCCTCGGCGAAGCGCTGGCGCCTCGGCGCCGCAGACAAGGAAGGAGTAGGTCGAGGCCGAGGAAAGGCAGGAGGAGGAGGAGGAGGAGGAGGAGGAGGAGGAGGA